CATCAGGCCTTAGAGTCAGTGTCTTTAGTACCCCATCAGGCCTTAGAGTCAGTGCATCTTTAATACCCCATCAGGCCTTAGAGTCAGTGTCTTTAATACCCCATCAGGCCTTAGAGTCAGTGCTGGTGGGGAAAGAGTCTGAAATCCACAAAGGACATACCTGGGTAAATGGGGAGTCTGGACATGAAAATCTATTGCCATTTATCTGGGACATGCTCCTATTCTATAGTATTTCTTCTTGGAAACATTGCAGTCTTTGAGAAAGGCATAAAGAGAAGAACATAAAGGCACCTGGCCACCCATATTACAAATTTAAAGACGCTCACATCGGGTCACATTTGCTCCAAATGTTTTGAAAAGAGAAAAGCATTCAAAAACTAAGTGGTAACCATAGGGTGGAAAACCTCTTTAGCTCACCCTAACCCTGCTCCTCATAGTCAGTGTCTCATCTGCTGCTCAGAGGCCTGCTTGCTTCCGGTCCTGCCCTTCCTCCAGTGTGCATGGTGGTGGCGGTGGGTGGACACCATCCACCCTATACTTCAGGGCTCCTCGTCAGATGGCTTCCCCTGGGACTGCTTAGTCGTGGGGGCTACCACTAGGGAGCTGTAGGGCTCAAGAAGCAAAATGTGGTTTTCAGATGCTGTTTCTCATAGACGTCTCGTTTGCTGTGGGAAACCAGCTCTTTCTCACAGCCTCGACCTTGGTTCTGTCTCTTACCAGTTCATGAAGCTTCTGGGATTAGAACACACCACTTTGTCCCTTCGCTAATGTGGTACTCCATCAACTTCTCAGAGGGGTAGTTCTTCCTTTTGAGGCTCTGGTGTTGCCCTCACTGACCCTCCCCTTCTTTTGCTGGCTGCTGGCCTTATAATTTCTTCTTCAGAAGCGCTGACTTCTCTGACTTCTCATGATGCTCTTATAGAGAAACCAGACATTGGGTTCATGAACCACCCTCACCAAGCATGCCATCATTATTGTCAATATTATTTGTTTTCTTTTTTGTTTTTTTTGAGACAGGGTCTCATTATGTAGCCTTGGCTGTCCAAGGACTACATCGACCAGACTGACCTCAAGCTCACAGAGATTCCTCTTCCTCTGCCTTCTGAGTGCTGGGATTAAAGGTGTGCACCATTCACACCTGGAAATATATCTTAATGTAACTTATTCTGTTTGCAAAGGTCCTTTATTCAAATAAACTCACATTCTGAGGTCTGGGCAGACATGTGCTTTTGATTTCCTATTTAGGCAATGTCTGGAACATTATTATACCTTTATTTGACTACTTAGTATTTATGAGACTATAGTGTGGACATTTAAAAGATAACTTACTATTATATTCTTTTGTTACCAAAATGGCAAAATTACCTTCTTTTTATATCATCTGAAAATATTTACACTTTTTTTTTAGTAGCTTGTCTGCTTTTGTATGAATTCCTTTTTCTGGCTCCCTGGACTCTGTAATGTTCTACGTACAGTGCAGACTGTTAAATGTTGGCAACTTTCCACCAACATTTGCCCCAAGACAGATGTGGTAGTCAGAATCTATGACCCTCCAATGACCTTCCCTGTGTGATCTCTTCCCTTGAGTGTAGGCAGAACTGTGAATTATACTCATACAACATATGAAAATTTGATGAACATATACAAATATATACAAAATTTGATGAAATAAGGGTTTTGGTTGATGTAATTGTCCCAAACCTGCTGAGTTTTAGATAGGAAATCATTAGGGAAGGTATGACTTACCTGCGTCATTTCTGTTCATGAGACAATCACTTGTGTGGAATGTGACAGAGAACAGGAGAAATGATAGAGTAAGCCATAATTCCCTTTCATGTCAGTAATCCAGACTCATCAATAATCAATAGCAGGGCTTGTTAGTAGGAGATGGTGCATATCTAGAATTGAGATGAAAACACTTTTGCTGATTCTGTGCAGTATTTCCTCTGCTCTGTTGAGAACAATACTCATTTCAAGTGTGTGCTCCAAAATAAGAGTTTTACAGTGTGTGACCCTGTGCTTGAGTTAAATATTTTATGTTTATACTTTAAGCAGGCATTGCAAAATAATAGAGGCATACTAATAAACATCTAAATGCTTCTTCACGTAAAGTGATAATGAACAGCAAACTGAAACAAAGTCCACAAACAACGAAGGAGACCACGGCAGAAGGGAGAAGGTCATGCGTTCATACCATCAGCAGCACGTTTTCCCTGTGCATTGGGAGCTGCTTGCTTTTGCATTTTCCAGCTGTGAGCAAATCATGTAGTGAGCTCTGAACCAGATTTCCTATCAAAAGAAAAGTCTACAGCTATGAAAAGTTGCAAAAACTAAAATATACCTTTTAGAACTGGGCAAAAATGAGGCAGAACTCTTGGCTTTCAATATACCGACATAGCAATACAGATGTGAATATTTGTGCAACTAGAGACACATGTGTGCCATTTCTTCCCATGAGAAGAAACCAGAGTGTTGAGAAGCCAAGGAAGGATGATGACTTCACGTTTACGATCAGCGGATGACGAGCCCTGCCCCAGGACACAGGAGCCAGCTCAAAGAGAGCAGACACACAAACACTGACATTAGTCAACAACGGTCCAGAGACTGAAATGAAATTCAGGAGAATACATGGGAATGAATAAACAGTGAAGAAATGGGAAAACTTCCTCAAACATATTGTCAGCCATGTTGTGACAACCATATTAGCATTAATCCACTCAAGGAATGTCAGTAAAGTTTAAACTAGTAAATAAATATTTGCCTTTTCACTTATTAGTTACTTACTAATTTTTTTTCCTGTAGAGCCCTGGCTATTCTGTAACTCAATTTGTAGACCAGGCTGGTCTCAAACTCACAGAGATCCACCTGCCTCTGCCTCCCAAGTGCTGGGATTAAAGGCGTGCGCCACCACTGCTTGGCAATTCTTGCCTACTTAATCACTAAAGGAAGCAGTAGCTTTAGGATAGACAAATCCGATCGACTTTGGAATGGGTGGTTCTCTGCACTAGCACTTCCAAAACCCACCTCCATCACTGAGAACTTGGCCGAGATCTCACACCAGCCTTGCTATGTCCCGTGATGTCGCTCTGACTCTGTGTGGCTTTAGTTTCCTGTCTGTGAGAGCCATTGCTCCCAGCCAAGGCAAGGGCTGTAGTCTCACAGGAGAACCCATAAGAATCAAATTATCCACAAGACTAGCCCCTTCTCTAAGGACCACTTTTCTGGGTGTGAACTGCAAAATAATGCTAGTAATAATGAGCTGATGTGATGTTGCAGGTATTTACTTGTCGACGGAGGAGTCTGAGGCAGGAAGTTGTAGCAAGATCCAGGCTGGCTCTGACAACCTAGTGACTCTCTGTCTCTCTGTCTCTGTCTTTCTCTGTCTCTGTCTCTCTCTCCCTCTAATACACACACACACACACACACACACACACACACACACACACACACACGTACAAAGGTGTCATGCACATCATTCACATGGTCTTCAAAATGAATGGCCCAACAAGTGTCCTCTCACAAGTACAGAGACAGGAGGAGGGACCTGTAAGTTGGAAGACACGACTCCCCTGAATATTAATATTTCTACATCTTCCAAAGTAAGTTCTTCTTCTGTCTGCCTCAGAGATGTTGCAGCTCTAGAGACAGGCTCTTTCTCTAATGACGAATTGCAGCAGTTCCTAAAGGCCCTGGGTCCCTTCAATGACCATTTCCTTCACTTTTGCCTGAGCTCTGACAGGGAAAAGTGACCCCAGGAATAAGAGCCTTCCCGCTCCATCTCCCCTGACTCCATTACTAAGGCACAGCCTCTCTCTCAGCTTGGCTTCATCTGTTTCTGAATGAACAGCACTGGAAAGCCAGTGTCTCTGTGGTAGCTCTCAGGCTCCGGAGTCTTGTGACTTCACTCCATTCTCCCAGGAAGCTGGAAGCTGAGTTCTGGGACAAGCGTGTAAACACAGGCCTCATAATTATCAGCTGGCACCATCATCCCTTAAGAATTCACCAGACAAGGAGCTGCGCACTCTCAACTCTGAGGAGCTGAAGGGTTTGCTCTGCCCCAGTGGATGTCTGCGCTGCTTCGGGTGAGCCTGGGCTGGCAGCGGAGGCTGTAGCTGACTGCAGGAGTAGGAGAGTTGTGGGCTTGAGACTGTTCAGGAGCTGCAGCCTGGGTCAGCCAGCCTGCAGGAATCAGGGATGAAGATGTTACCCAGTTCTCCCAGGTCTTCAATATCAGTCCGGCTAAGAGAGCCCTTAGGAAACCCTATGTTTATAGCAGCCTCTCTCATGTGCTTTGTTAACCCTAATGGCGAGAATAAGACCACTCCCACAATTTGAGCCAAATTTGAAGAAAGCTTGGTTTTTATTGGGGTGCACCCAAGAGTTGGTCAGCGACTGCCTTCTAAGTCGGGTTAAAGAGAGCAGCCCCGCAGCCCCGAATCCATCTCTTGCCCCCCCCCTTTAGGAGCTGAGGATCGAACCCAGGGCCTTGCGCTGCTAGGCAAACGCTCTACCACTGAGCTAAATCCCCAACCCCACTTGGCCCCCTTTTAAGGAGTAAAAATCACAAGTAGTTT